GGGAGGGGGGGGGGGCTAATTTTAGAAAAAAGTCGTCAATTTAAAAAAATAATGGGGATTCCCTCCCCCCTCCCCACTTTTTTTTTTCCTTTTTTTGGGTGGGAGTGGTGGGGGAGGGGTGAACTGTTAAAGTAGTTTGATATTCCAAAGTAAGCTTTCAATGGACTGATCTTTGAAAAATGTAAATGCCTCAATTCCCTCTGATAATTCATACATAAAAAAATATAGCACAATGTAAAATGAGTAAAACAGAGTAGGGTTAAACCTGAAAAAAGAAACGTAACAACGTACTCGTTTTACATTGTGCTAACCTGATTAGTAAAAAGTACACATTTTCATGCGGGGGATGCTTGAAAGAAAAACTGCACTGAAAAGGAGTCTAATGTTAAAGAATTATGGTGATTAAATAAGACGTTAAACAAAAAAAAAACAACAACATTGTTCTGTAGTCATCAAAGGGTCATGCCCATGACGTTCTTGTCTTTTGATGGTGTCAGGATTTGTTTGTTTGTTCATTGTTGCTTTTTTAAATATCAATTAACGAAGTCGTTTAAACAAATAAATTGTTAAATTAAATATGATAAAACAACATTACTATTTAGTAAAAACAAATGTTCAAAAATAAAGGATTCGGATAAACACCTTTCCAGGGCAAACAACACCTACATTTCTACTAGCATCTCTTCTGTTGCTCTCCGGTTTAGTGTAGAGCAGAGGCGTAGCTAGGTTGGGGGGGGGCAGGGTACATATGTCCCCGGGCGCCAAGGTACAGGGGCGCCAAAATGAGTCTTACAACATTAGATTATAATGAGTAAACAATAAAGGTAAAAGATATATTTCCGAATCTGCGAATTTCACTTCAAACTTTATTAACAATAGCAGTTTCAATTGCAAGCTGTGAGCGGTCGTTCAGCAAATTGAAACTTATTTGTCGCATTTGCGCGCGTCAAGGGACAGGATCGTCTCAACGATCTTGCTCTTCTTAGCGTTGAAAGAGAAACATTTTTTAAAAAAAACAGATTTTGATTGCGCAATTGCCCAGTCTGCGAAAGTAAACTTCAAGAATAATAAATCTTTATAGACTATGTAAACCAGTCTATGACAGTGACTGAGTGTGTCATGTACTATAATTTCTATAAATTTGCTTATTTAAATACAATGCTTTTTAAATTCTGAATTATTTTCCTTATTCAATGTAACAGAAAAATGTGATTTAACGGGGAGGGGCTGGGGCGCCAATTTTATAATTCATCCACGGGCGCAAAATATCATAGCTACGCCTCTGGAGTGATTATAAAAAAAAGGTAAATTCAGGTATCAAGAGGTTTCTGGGTATGGACTCACTCAGCACACTCCCTTATAAAAAAGCACCCCCCCCCAAGGACTTTTGCTTGGCAGCGTTTTACTCTATTTATTTCTGCACCCCCCCCCCACCCCACCCAACCCACACCAAAATGACAGTCCAGCACCCTAGTAATTGAACTGGGTAAAATACACCAAATGGGTTACGATTGAAAATATTGGGGGTGATGTCGGCTCAACAAACATCAATAAAATTTTGTAAAATCTGTTGTCCTTGTTATATCGTGAGGGCATACATTCTGACGACACTGCATCTTCTCAGAGGAATAGAAAAAGTAGACCAATTATCTCGTTAATCGTGGTTCGGCAGCTAGCGCAACCGCACGTTATTAAACATGTCATTTTGTTTTGGTCTAACACTGACAAAAGCTGCAAATGCCTTTAATGTTATAAAAATCTTACTTTGTCAACAAAGATTTCCCACTTAAACTTAATATGCAGAGAAAACTCAGAAATCAAGTCATTTTCAATAATCATGGAACCCCGAAGACACTACTACTGAACTGCTAATTAGAGTGACTACTAGTACTAACAACTAGTTACTAGTCGTCGAAAGTCGTACTATAGTTATAGGCTTATGCTTAGGCTAGTAGTGACAGGTTGACCGTAACTGCGAGTGAGTGAGTGTCGCCAGTCCAGTTACGGTTTAAAAGTATACTTAATTTTTGAGTGCCTAAAGTAATATCCAAAATGTAAAAAAAGTCCCTACTCAGGCTAGTCTGATGCTATAAATTAATAATAAATAATACACAAGTAATCACACACCGAGATGGGTAAAAGTGCAGTTCAGGTGCGTATATTATTTCTGTTTGAATCTCTTATTTTCCCATGTTAACTTATGTTAATTCTTTATAAAAAGTATTTTAAAAGTTATATACCATCTTTTTACTGGAATACAACAACAATTTAACAAATTTTACGAGATATAAAAAGTACATTTTTATGAATCTTTCGTGTTTTACGGAGCCATTGTGGTAAATCAAGGATAACTCTTCTGTCTTTAAAGATACTTTCTAAAAGTTGCCCAATTGGATGAATCTTGTTAAAATAAACGAAGTGTCTACACGTCCGGCGCACCGGACGTGTAGTGCGCAAGATATACGTCCGGCGGCTTGTCACGTGACCGCCGGACATGGCCGGACGGCTAGTAGTTTTTGTAATTCCAAACGAAGTACGGTTTAGTACATCTTGTCTGGTCTTGCGGTAGAGTGGTTGCTTGACGATAGGAAGGTTTGAGGATCTTTACGGGGGATAGGGTCGTTTTTTTTCTTCCCATTTTAATTAAAATATTTTGTATATATTTATATTATCATGTTCCTCAGCAACAGTAGTTTCATGAGAAGTTTTTAAATATTTTGTAGCAATTGAAATAATTTAAAATGAAATCTTTTACTTTAACTTTTATTGGTTGCCTACGCCTACTCCACACTGGCCCCTAATTTATTTTATGGATTACTGGTACACAAACTCAAATAACAAACTAAACAAAAATGTTTACAAGCCACTTTCACTTAAGTTTTTTTCTATTATTTGCATTCAAAATACTCAGTACATTACTTGGTAGAGAAATAGATTTTAAAATTAACAATAGTTTTGAATTATTCGCAGTCACGTGACAAGGCTGACCGACAAGATATCTCTCGCCACTTTGTTACGGCGGTCATGTGACTTGGACGCCGGACACATAGTGCGGGAGATAGACGTCCGGCACTGCCTAAAATAATGATGTATTTATTTTATAACTTTACTATCAACTATAACCGGAGTTGTCTGGGGCTGCATTCAGAAAAAACCATCTGCTACGTCCTTTTAGTTCACATTGTTATTAAAGGAAATGTCAACAACAAAGCAACAACACTATAGTAAAAATAATAATAATTAATTTGTCTCCTATTAAAAACAAGTAAAATAACTTATGTAAACCTTTCGTTTTTCCCGTTTTCCGATGGCACCTGGAAGGATCATGATGGGATCCCGAACCCGGTGGGATCCCGATCCCGGTGGGATCCCGATCCAGTGGGTTACCGATCCTGGCGGGATACCGGTTATGGTGAGATCCCGTTTCGGGTGATATGCAGATCCCGGTAATTTTGGGGAGCTCACATACTTGACATACGAACCCAGCTTACAAGCCACATTGCAATTGTTACAAGCGCCTTAGGAGAAATTCCAGTTGTATTAACGTTATTTGTTGCCCCACAAGGTGCGCGTATAAACCAAATGCTGCACCATTAAAAATGCCTGTTGCATCAACAATTTTAGTTATTGTTTCTTAGTCGTCCTGCCATTGTAAAAAAAATGATCCTACAACCAGCAATACCGCAAAGCCAAAACGAGTCCGTCTTATAACATAAAAAAAATAATCACTAGGCCTCACTTTATTCAGCGCAAATCAGTCACCAGTAATAAGCGCATTTGCATACGAAAAAAGAGGAGGGGTGCTCAAATTAGAGCTGACCAATCACGGACAGCGTATTAGCAGCCTTCAGGGTGATCAGCTTCACACCAGGTCCAGGACAATGATGACGTGTGTGTCCACTGCTTAGTCAGTGATCCACTTCTAATCTCCCCCCCCCCCCCCCCGACTTCAAAAAACAACCCCTATATTCCGAGCTCTATGAGAGGGGAAAAAAAGAAAGTTGGCGGGGGGGGGGGGCTTGTGCGTAATGAAGAATCTAGTATTTCATTCTTTTTTGTGAACATGCTTAGTTTGAAAATTTCGTTTAGCATACTAACTTATAGGTGGCTAAAAATCTGGCATAGCGTAAAAAGAAAAATACAAACAAATGGGGGCTGTGTCACTTTGGTTGGGGGATGTTTAAA